TAATGGCAGCGGTTATTACAACGTGGTTCGCTGCGGAGCCACACATTAAAAAAGGTTTGAAAGCTGAAACCAAACCTACAGCGATTCGGAAGTTTATAAAGTTTTGCCACGTAGTTGATGAGGCAGAACTTCCATGTGGCTCATTATATCTTCTGCTCAAAGAGTCCACTTAGCTCCATAAGGAAGAACACCCTGCGGCAATATAATAGTTAATAAGCCCTCTAAACAATAGGAAAATGTGTTTGGACCAGGGCTGGTCATAGATTACTTGGGGCCTTGGGCAGAATTTTGACTTTTTTTTCCCCCTTGATTTTGTTTATGTTGTGCATTTAACACGCTTAGTTTCATGGTTTACTAGCAGTTAATTCAACTGTACCAACTGTAAATAAATGGCTTTAAATTAGCGGTGGAGAGACTATAAGTCTCTCTGCTCTTCTCATTTTGCCCTCCAAAGTGCAGCCTTTCCGTGAAAGCTATTTATGTTTTACTCAGTAACAGTAACTGTTGTGCATTTGTCTGGTATTCTATATTGTGACTGAAGCTAAATTTTCCATTTCCGTTAGAGGAAATTTAACAGAAAATCAACATTTTGAAGATGTAAGTGAATTACGGGCTCTCAGCAGGAGCATAGTTTGCTTATAGTTTGGTCTGGCTCTATTGAAGATGTAAGTGGTGTGACTAGGTGTGATTTTCAACAAAAGTTTTAGAACTGAATTTAAATTTTGACTAAGAATATCAAATTCTAGAGGTGTTTTTCTAGACTAGATAAAAACAAGGACTGACCAACCTTAAAAAAATAAAAAAAGATGTGTGCTGATGTCCGTGTAATTCTTGGCTGAATTTTGTTTTCTACTTAAAAGAATGATGGCACACAGGGTACAAAACAAGGACTTGTCCCCAGAATTGTATCCGGTGTTGCTTTTCTATTTTAGCAACGTTCCACAGAAATGTCAAAATGCAAACATGTTCTTTCTCAGAATTGGATAAGCAAAGGGCAATAGCAGGGTCATTTTCTTTCGGAGTTCTTGCACAATCTACTGTAACTAACTGCAATCTTTTTTTTCTTTTCTTTTTTCCTCCTTGCAGAGTGCCCACATACCGGAGAGAGCAGAGAGAGGTCCACATGACGGTAGGTGTCCCACAGGGCACCGTGGGAATACAGTCTGTGCTGGGCTCTCTGCTGGCTCGCAGCCAATCACAGAGGGCTGGTTTGAATTTCACCTTGACATTAAAAAGGAAATTATCGCCCCCTACTGGAATTCCACGTAGCCTGACCCTTTATGTCCCTGAGATTTGTGTCTTCAGATTTAGCTTTTCCTTTCCTCTGTAAACCAGAACAGTTAAACCTGTAAACATAGTTAAACCTGTAAAACTGTAATTTGTGGCGTCTAGTCCCACTTGAGGTTAACCTGGGAAAGTGTTATGGTCACCAGACTCGTTTATAGAAAGGAATGTCACCCTCTTGGCTCCAAAAATTTCATTTTGCACAATTGCCAGCATTGCCCAATCTAATTTGAACAATCACAAGCCAGGCTTCATGATATTGCTCAGACACAGCATGGTTGGTTTAGTTTCCCTGAGGGCCAGTGGCCTCTGGGCTGTTTCAGCCTCAGTTATGGCCCCCGCAATGTTTCAGAGGTGTTGTCAGTCCGTTTGCTAATGTCTTTCACAAGATCAGGGCTCCTGCAAAGACAAAAAGGGAGGAGGGGAGTAGTTTGAAGGTGAAAAAGTTGTTATTGTATCTCTGTAGTATGTAAATGATCAAAGAGAGCAGAGCAAAGAGGTGATGTTTAAGTCTAAATTGTAGCTATATAGATAAAACAACTCGTTAATGTTTATGATCAATTATGTAAGTGCTTGTAAAGAGGGGCAGTTCGTTTTTTTTTTTTTGTTTTGTTTTGTTTTTTTTTCTTATATAAACCAAGTACTTTCGAATGCTGTCCACTGCACAACATGCCTGCGTTTTATTCAAATTTCCAATCAGATGCGTGTCCTCGTTTATAACTCCGATCCTGTTACCTGTGTCTCCCCAGTGATCCCCTTGATGGAGGTGTACAACAAGAGTTTGTGTCAGCCCCGAGAGCTGCTGGTGGATATCCTGCAGGAGTATCCAGAGGAGGTGGAGCACATCTTCATCCCGTCCTGCGTGGTGCTGAAGCGCTGCGCCGGCTGCTGCAGCGACGAAATGCTACAATGCACCCCGACAGCCACCTATAACGTCACAATGGAGGTCAGCATTCGTATGCGCAACACCATCACGTCAGAGTTTTAATTGCCAAGCAGTTTGTCTTAATTTTCACACTAGAGACTCTGAACAGAAAGGCCCAACAGAGCGTGGCATTTAGAAATCCCCTTTGATGCGTCCAAGTGCGTAAAGCTCAAAGAGCTTTTCAAAATTATATCCTTACATAATCTGAATTAGTCAGAATTTGTTTCTGAAAACATGTAATTGATGTGGACAGTTTTGGTGTGCATCAGAACTAAAGAAAATGTGTTAATAAATCCTTAGAGGAACAGTTTTTTTTTTCCCCATCAAGACTTTGTACCTCCTGACTCCTGCTCTACCTGGTACCAGTTAACAGACTTTCTGGAGTGAGGTTTTTTAAAACTGTCATTAGTAACTGTACTGTTATCGATTATAGATAGATTCCATTTTGCTTTAAGTTTGTAGAAACATTTTCAAGCTAGCGTCTCATGCAAGAAAGATTCCCTAAGTTTATTAAGTCAAAACGACGCAAAAGGAAACAGTTAAAGTTTGTGCAAATAGAGGGTGTGGGCCTGTACTTTCAGATGAGACTGAAGACTAAATATGTCTCTGCGTTCAGTTTTAGAGTTTCTGTGCGAAGGTTGCGTTAGCCGAAGCTGGTTAAGCCTAATCAGCTGATCGTGAGTCCACCGGGATAATTTTCAAACAACGCCTGAACCGGGAAATCACCAGCTTAGATTATATTGCACAATTGACATCGCGTCACAAAATCCAAAAGTTCATTCCACTCTGGCGGACTTAGAGTGGACTGAAGTGGAGCAATTGATAAGGCGGATTTATGCAGCGCACAGCAACTTAAGTGTAATAACTCGGACTTGGCGAAGGAAGCGCAAGAGTGGATTGTATCTGTAGTTAGCGTCAGCTAACACATTGGGGACCTATGAATTGCTTTAAACCTCATACTACTCGGATCTATTTGCTTAAATGACATCTCTCCACTACAGATTAGAAAACTATTACTGATAACATCACAAACCATCACATAAAACAATCCAACATGTTCTCTTAACACTCATAACATCTGAAGTTAAAATGAATTTTAGGCTCAGACCAAAACTTTGTGATTTACCCTTAAAGTTATTTAAAATTAGTGATCAAATTACAAGAACTAGTCAGACCTCTTGAATTGTCTCCATGGGTCAACGCTTTCAACCATCAGCCGCAGAAAAACACCCCCACATCATGATGCTGCCACCACCTCCACAGAACAGCAGTATTTATTATTTATTTACTTATTTTATCTAAGTTGCACGCAGGTGAAATGTGCTGAACACAGATATTCTGGTTTGTCTCTGAAGAAAATGTTAACTTGTGCTTGTTTTAACTTTCTATGTTTATCGTTGCAACATAATGAAATGTAAAAAACAAAAAAAAGTTCAAGAAATATGAAGTACAGAAAGTAACTCTAATTAAAATCTCTCTCCTCTTTTACAGATTAAAAGAATAAAACTCCAAAGGCAACAAAATGACATTTTCATGAGTTTTACAGAACACAGCGCATGTGAGTGTAGGTAAGAAACCTCGAACACACAAGCACTCGCACGAACGAACGCACGCACACACACACACACACACACACACACACACACAGCATCTCTAAAAAGCAAATCACTGCACCATTGTGCAGCAGAGTCAAGGTCAGCCAAACACGTCATGTTAAGTCATTGTTTACAGGTTGCCCCTGACACATTCAATGTATGCAAATCATCCAGATTGGTATCTTATCTTGCCCTCTTCCACTTGGCTGGGCCTTTTTAAAGGAAAGTCCTGAGCAGGTTCCAATATATCACGGCCGACGTCTTGCCGAGTTTTGAATTTATCATCTTTCCACAGCATAGCTGCGGCTCTGTGGCATGTAACAGGTCCTGCCTGGAACCACACGCCATGGCTTGGACCACTGTGGTTATGTAGGAGTCTTGTTCTTGGTCACTTCCTGAGCCATAATGTCAGTCAGAGAATTGCACAGATGTTGCTTCTAGTGCAACCAACAAATGGTAACAGTTAGAGATGGCGTAGTGTATCAGGAGTTTGGTCAATGGCTATTGGCTGGTGCAGTTAGACACAAAGGTTGTGAAGGGCCTTTTCAATCAATTAATCAAAATTCATTTGTATAGCACATTTCAGCAGCAAGGCATTTCGAGGTGCTTTACATAATTAAAGAAAAAAATAAGAACAGCATGTGACATTGAATAAACAGTAAGAAAGAGAAAGATTTTGAAAAAAAAAGAGTATTAAGGAGTATTAAGTAACATAAGTGTCTTATCTTAATATAATCATTAATTTGAGAAGCTTAGCAAATCTTCCATTTAAATTGAGGTCAGTAAACTCAAAAAATGCCTTCCTGCTTCTTTTTATTTGCCTATTTCTTCTGTCATGTTTTATTTGCTGTTGTTCATAGAAAGGACTGTGTTAATGTTAAAAACAGAACACAAGTGTTAAAACTGGAATAATCAAATCTAAATGTGACAAAAACTGGAACAAACGTCAACATCTTCAACTAATGAATAGCTGTGTCCCCTCTAATCATTGACAGAGCTCTTTTCTGTCCTTGAGTTTCTGTTTACTATTGAAGACTTTTTTTTTTCTCCACATTCTGATTATGATGGTAGTAGGGGTTTGAGTAATGACGCAGCAGCTCAGAGGGGACATGCATCGTCCTCCCATGCTACAGAAAAATCTGAAAAGAAAACAAACAACGCAGGGACACTACTGACCAAGGCCCACAAAGTTACACAACTGCTGCTCTACGCCCCATGTTTGCGCAGTTAGTTCAAACTGGAGTCTGACTTTGCCTATGTGTTTGTCAGAAATCTCATTGTGAATAACCTTGAACGGTGGGCGTCGCCATTTAGATGTATGTTCGTAACGATCCACCTGGAGGTGACCTAATTAAGTGAATAAAAAATAATAAGAACTCCCACCATTTTTGGTTTGTACAACAACAAACCTGTGTCATATAATTGGATGCATGTTTTTTTGAGTTTTAATAACAAATCAGAAAAGTCAGATCATGTTGTATCTCTTCCATTTTCGGTTAGATTCAAAAGGGCTACTGCTATGGTTTTTGTCTCTTTTATTTCTTAAAATCCATAGGAAAAAAACCCCAAAAAACATTGGATTCGGGATGTCAAATTTCAAAGAAAAACAAAAATCTATATTGGCCAAAAAAGTTGGTGGCTAATATTTTAGTTCTTTTGATTTTAGTTCCTGCTCCCCTAAATGAAGAAAGCATCATTTTAGATTTTTGATTATCATTCCTCCTCTATCCTCCTAGCTCTTTAGATATACATTTATGACCTCATTGTACAATCTTCTAAAAGTCCAACAAAATCACAAAGTAAGAAACAGATTTATTTCAATGTCAATTTCAAAAGATTTCTTTTAACTACAACAATTTTTCTAACGATTTAAAACCTAAAAACAGGAGCAGCAGACAAAATAATGAATCTTTCGCTTGGATTCACAGTACAACCAAGACTTTAAAAGCCTTTAAAGAAAATGTACTTTATTTTATAAATACAATAATAACTCAAATTTTCAGTGTTTTACAGCTTTTTTAAGTGCGCCACCAAAAACCCAATGCCATAGAAGACTTTTTTCATTTCATGAAAACATTTAGCAGACAACTACAAAATATTAAAGTCCAAGTTTTAATTGAGCGTTTCCCATCTTATCAACATTATGACTCTTCAAACTGTTCAAATTAGTTCCTTTAAAGATGGTGCAGAAATGAACCAAGGTCAGAAAAAGAATCTGGTAAATTTTAGTGCAAGTACATTTCATTGTGTTCCTGCAAGATGTAACACTGGCCTTGCTGAAGCATCCAGACACAATAACCAGATAGTCTCTGTCTGATGCAGGAGGCGTCGCCCTCTAAACAATGCACATGCTTACATTATTTATCCTTAACTTATTCATCCGATGTACTTGAAATGCGGGGATCTTGCAACAGTTTGTCAAACCAAACATTGGCCAGGAGTCTGGGACCATCTCAGGGGAAATACTGTTTCCTAACTTTATTGGCAGACGGCTGCCTGGGGAGGTTGCCAGCAGAGTTATTGCTCCACACTCTCTTATCGGCAAGACCTGTCACAAAAAAGTGAAACAAACCTCTTAGTTCTCAATTGTGGACGTGTTTGTAGGTATGTATCCGTCGACAAACGCCACACCCGCCTCATGCCCCCCCAATTCCCGTGCCTGAGTCTACAGTGATCTGCTTTGTTTCCCAACTGCTTTGTTTCATTGACCAAGTTCAGTGAAAGGCATTTGAAAGTGAAAGCTAGTTTTAGCACCGTTTCTTGTAAATGTCATGGCAGTGATGTAACGTGATTTGAGAGGATTAATGTGTGTCAACCCATGCTGAAGTATAACCTCGATGGTTTTGACGCGCATCTGTTCACCAGCCGAACAGGCAGAGCTCATTGTGTCCTAACGTCGTATTTCTGTTGCTCCCTTTCAGGTTAAAGACAGAAGTCCGAGAAAAGAAAGAAAAGTGAGTACTGCAGCTCTCTCTGCATGGAGATTGGGACATTGCGGGAGGGGGGAATTCAGGTCTCATGTTGCTTTGCAAATGATCCCTCTCTTAATCTGTGTAACTACACTCTACACTCTCAAGTGATGTACCAGTTGATTTTTCCTTCCTTCTGTCTGCGTATTGCAATGCTTTGTCAAATCCAACACAAAACACTCCATAGCAATAATTTACACTCAGCGTATACGACACATAGGATCATCTGGGATCAGCATGCTGTGTTCGGTTGATAAATGCTGAGAGTGGTGACTGAATCAACAGGTGAATGACTGACTTGATGAGGCCATTGCCCCACCAACACCTTTTCCTGACTTTCCTATTGCATTTTTATAATCCTCCTCTCTAGCCTCAACCTGTTTACATCCGACTTAACTTCTGTTCCTCCCGCTTCTAATTGCTCTGATATAGATAAGTGTTTTTTGAAGTGCTGTTAAGCTGTTTGGTTCATGGTCCACCTTTAGTGATACTGCCTGCCCCACGCCACACGAGTCGCCGCTCTAACGGTCATTAAGGCTCTTTAATCTCCCTCTGTGGGTACTTGTTAATATTTTTCCACTGCACGGCTGTTGTTGTCGGCCATATTTTGGTTTTTATGTTGGGCTGTCTGTCATATAGATAAGGCTCAGATTTAAGACCTTCTCTCTGACCTTGTCTCAACTGTTTACAAGTCTGTCATTGATGGTGTGCTTCGACAAAGGGATGATCCCGGGGGTCATTCAACTTCTGCTTCTGACGCTTTCAGATGTTCTTTCTTGTTTTATCGCCGCATGCTAGCCTCTCCTGAGGTCCCAGAGTTTGTCAGGGTGAGTCATCCTGCTGAGGTTGTGAAACGAGTTAACTGTCAACGTCCAACTAGGAAATCAGACCAGATGAAGAGGAAGCCTTTACATGTGCACACATCCTGTTTTGTGGACCGGTTAGTGACATATTTACCATCCTGTTCCACATTCTGGTCCAACTGGAGGCTTCCGGACCGTTAATGTTACCTTGTGACTAGAATACAAAGTGTTTCCTTGAGCAGTTAAAACTAAATTTGTGATTTTGCTAGCAGAAGTGCTTGCGGAACATCGATACTAGCCTTGCCTTGTTTTGCCAGTCGGCGCTCTACTTTGTTCCAGAAGAAAGTTCATCACAGACATTGGATGCGATTACATTAGACATCCACAGCCCTCAGAGGAATATGCCTGGCTTTTGTAAACTCTCACTTTTCCTCTAATGTCTCAGTGAGTTTAATGGTCGCCGTTCATTGTGAAATATTTGATGAAAGAGATGAAATCTAGGACACATATTCATGAGCTGCAGAAGATGCGTTGTAATGAATCAGTTCCTCAACCTCCTATGAAAGGTCCTCGTGAACAAAAATTGCTTTGATTTATGATCAACCAACATTCCAGTGAGGCCTCCGTAACACCAATTACCAACTGTTTGAATGCTAACTACAAGGCTAAACTTGTTGAATAGAACGCTGCCAAACATTACCATGCTAATGCTGTCACGTAGCAAGTTCTCACTGTGCCGTGAGCATGGCTTCGCGTCTTTGTGGCTGGTGTTAAGTTTCCCCTCGAATAAGGCCTACATTGCCAATCTGTTTGCGGTTAATAAGCAGAACGAGAGATGAAAACAGGCAGAAATACAAGAAAAAAAAAAGTTCTGTTTGAATGAAGTAAGATGATGGCAGATGTCCAAGGATAGCAATAATCAGCTTTCACCTGTGCATCAAACATTTTGCAGAATTACAATTCATTCTCCTCATAAAAACACGCACTATTGAGAACAAAGATGTTTGTATATTTTTGTTTCAGTGCTTTGAGATGTAAAACTATGGGGCTTGATTTGATGTAGCTTGTAATTCAGAGGGACATCATGCAAAAAAAAAAAAAAAAAAGTGTTGTACCCACAGAACCCATCTGTGGCAACTGACATCTTACTCGTTTTGTTCTACTTTCAATCATAACCGCCTCTGAAGAAGCTCCCGTTGGCTGAAGTTCAATGATCTCCTCTGTCTTCACTCAAATTAAGTCTGGCGTGTGTTTATAGCATTTTATGTGGTGCATGATGCATCTCTCCACTTCAGAGAGATGCATCACTTTTTACTTTTACCTGTTGCAGAACAAAGTTCTTTCTGGCCCTTTACATCTCATACTTCACAATCACTCAAGTTCAAAACACCTGTAAAAGTCCTTATAGGTTTTACTTGGAAATTACAACCATGCCCACTTCAGATTTCTGACGATCAGACACAAGAAAAAATGCCTCTGCCCAAACCACAGCTGCATTATTTAAGTCATTTTAGTTTTGTAGTCCCTCTCACGCGGTAATGTCTCGTCTCTTGCCGAGCAGCATAGGCCTTAAGTCACCCAGCTATCTGGCTGCTGAGTGACTGTGATCGGTACGTCACTCTTTCAAACTGCTAAAATGACTCGTTTCGACAAAAATCAGGTGAAACAGAACTTTGACTGAATGTTTTTGTTTGGCTGTGTTTAGATAGAACATACAGGCAAGTACTATCAACAATCTATTCATTTTTCTTGGCGAAATAAAGCCAAGGATTATAAACTAAACAACTACACAAAAAGCATCCATTGATTCCCAGTATTTGGAGGGTTGTGGGTTCATATCTTGATGTGGAAACTTGGTGGCAAAATCTCCCTTACAGAAACAGAGTTAAAGTTTTCCTTTTGCACTTCATAAACTATAAAGCCTTTAACGTGTCTGCCGTGATTTACAATAACATGAGTTAGTGACTGAAATTGTGTCTAACTCCAGCTTGCGCTTGTGAAACACAAGGGGCTGAGTGCGTAAAACTGCGTGTAGATACTCAACAAAGTCTTTTGGACTTCATGTGAACACATTCGTGAAGCAATGCACGTACATGCCCTGTTTTACAAACATACTAAACAAGTCTGCTTTGCATTCCAATCTTGACCCATGAGTGATTACATATATATTAAATCGTGAGTCATTTGCATATAAAAAGCTCTGTTAGCATCAAATGTCAGATATATCAATGAACACAACAGCAAAGACAAAGCACAAAGCCAGTGAATTTGAAACTAAGACACCAAGAGGAAAGATAAAAACTTCTTTTCACTTTGTCAAATTTAAAAACACACGGTGTAATCAATATGTTGGGAAGATTTTCCCTCCACAATCTCCCTTGACAAGTTTTAGTACGTTGGGAAGAAAAGCGCACTCGTGATTGTTGTGCCCACGCATCGTTTATGCATCCAGCCCCTTGTGTACGCTTGATAAGCACACTTCTGTTTGTTCTCATTGTGCCCCATTCTGAAACAAGTTGAATCGGCCCTAAAGAGTTGACCCAGATAATGTTGAAAGATGCCGTTTTGGTGAAGTCCAAGCCTTTTGTCCTCGATTCATCCGGTAAATTTCCGCCTACGGCGAAGCCTCACAACCGTTAATTGGTTTCACTCTCTCCAGAGTCATTGTACCATTTTATAAGACCAATCATCCCGGGGAAAAAAAAAAAGGCCTTTGAAGCCAAGCTGGACAATGAAATGATTTTCTCACAGATAGCACATTATATTTAAAAAAACAGTGGGATGTGGCTAGATCTGGGTGTGTCTCTTATTTTACCAATTTCAAGGAAAGTACGTTATCCACACTGGGATATGCCTTTCCTCTTATTAATACAAGCAGAGATTTCTCATTCAAATCGAATCATTTTTCTTTTACCATCATTCAAAAAATATCAATGTTGGCTATAGTTATCATCAGTTTAAGATGTCAGCGTACCAGTTCATCTTTATCGCCAGTCTCTCAGGCATTTCTTTGGGTTGTTGTCCTTTTTCTCTTGCAGAAAACCCCGGACAGGCAAAGGCAAAGGCCTAAAGAGAAAGCGAAAGAAAAACCGTGACAAAACAATTCACGATGCGTATGTCAGCTCCGCCTTCTCCACCTACCTGCACCTGAGTGTTGCGCTTCTCATAATTAAGCTAATTTGGGAGGAGCTCTTTTGCCCTTTTTAATTTTGTGCCATTTAATTTATCCGTCGGCCATATCAGTTAGCATGTCACTTCTGTGTACTGTCCTAACATTGTCTCGTCAGTCATGCTTTTCATAATTCTGAGAGCACATGTGTCTGAGCTGGCCTGTCTGCCGGGTATTGCTGCTAATGTGTTCTTGCAAAGAAATTTACACATAATACACACAGGAAAGAGTTTGTCATATCCGATCTTGTAAAAATAAGCCATATAACCCATGTCACCGTTTCCAAAAACACCAACTAATTTGTGCAGAGATATTTGCAAGCATGTCACACCTTTATGACAAAGACTAGACCAGTGATTGGGATCAGATTCAGCAGCAGAAACCGGAGGATCAAACACCTTGTTGGCTTAAAAGATGAATAGGGATGCTTAAGAAATCTGTAATAAGCTGATTTGAAATGAGCTGCTAGCTGAAGGACAGACCTTTTCCTACAGCAGATCACAGGTCCACCAGCATGGCTTTAGACTGCCTCATATTTATCTGTGCTGGGATCAGCGAGATTGTAATCATGGTCCTGTCTTCAGTGTTGAGTCTGTGTCGCTTTGCTGTGTCTCTCTGCCTCTCTCTGTTCTTTTCATCTTAAAAAACTGTTTTTGTTGTCCTGAGCTTAATGCTGGTACATTTTTATGTAATGTGAAGATATGAATGATTGCTATCTATTGCCTTTATTTCGTTTCGTTTTTTTGTTTTTCCTTTGATTTGTTTGGCAAGTACAGTTTTTTCTTTTGTTTGTTTCCTTGTTACCTACTTTTGTGTCTGAGACCGTTCAAGTAATTCACTTTTTTTTTTTTTTTTTCAAAAAAACTAACATAAAGATGACCTCATGTTTCTCCAGTGCAGATATTGTGAACATATTCTGTCTGTATGTTCGGTTGTTATTTGTACACTGATGTCAGTGGAATTTCTGAGCCTTA